TAAAAATACAAAATTGGGTGTGGTGGCAGGCGCCTGTAATCCCAGCTACTTGGGAGGCTGAGGCAGGAGAATCGCTTGAACCCAGGAAGTGAAGGTTGCAGTGAGCCGAGATCATGCCACTGCACTCTAGCCTGGACAACAGAGTGAGACCCTCTCAAAAAGATAAATAAATAAAAAGAATTAATATCAGGCCAGCCACTGTGGCTTACGCCTGTAATCCCAGCACTTTGGGAGGTTGAAGTGGGAGGATTGCTTGAGGCCGGGAGTTTGAGACCAGCTTGGCCAGCATAGTAAGACCTCACATCTACCAAAAAACTTAATATTAGCCATGCATGGTGGCACGTGCCTGTGGTCCCAGCTACTTGAGAGGCTTAGGTGGGAGGATCACTTAAGCACAGGAGTCTGAGGCTGCAGTGGGCCATGATTGCGCCACCACACTCCAGCCTGGGCAACAGTGAGACCCGGTCTCCAAACAACCACCACCAACAAAAACCCCAAACCAAGACTTGATACCATAAAGGTCACATACTCTAACTACAGTGCAAAAAAATCGGAAGTCAATACAAATGCCACAAAGACCCATCTATTTACAACTACATAGCTTAACTTTGAATTGATATGAACTTGGTATTAATTCCCAAAACAAGTGAAACCGGGAGGATGGGAGTTGATAAAAGGAAGGGGGATTTAGACTCAGGGTGAATACTGTCAAAGATTTTTGTCAGTCTTCCAGAAATTAATATACAAATTCCATGCAGTCAGAACGCAAGCAGGACTTTTGGAACTTTTGGACAAAATCATTGTAAGTGCATCGGGAATGCTAAACAGGCAAGGAGAAGTCTGACATGGGAGCGCTAGTCCTGCCAGATTTTACATGACCAAAGCTATAAACCCCTTTTTTTTTTCTGTTGCCCAGGCTGGAGTGCAATGGTACAATCTTGGCTCACTGCAACCTCTGCCCCACCGGGTTCAAGTGATTCTCCTGCCTCAGTCTCCCAAGTAGCTGGGATTATAGGCGCCCCCCCACCACATCCGGCTAATTTTTGTACTTTATGAGACAGGGTTTCACCATGTTGGCCAGGCTGGTCTTGAATTCCTGACTTCAAGTGATCCGCCCACTTTGGCCATCCAAAGTGCTGGGATTACAGGTGTGAGCCACCACGCCTGACCCGTGTCATTCTATTTAGATGAAACGGCAAGAAAAAGCAAGATTATAGAGACAGAAGCAGCTTAGTGGTTGCCTGGGGCTGTGGGTGAAAGCAGGGATTAATTAGGCAGTGAGCAGCCTTTTTGGGGTGATGGAAATGATCTAGAATCGGATTGTGATGTTTTGCACAGCCTTATAAATTTATGAAAATAATTGAGTTGTACAATTACAAAGGGTGAGTTTTATGATATTTGTACCTTAATTAGAACTGTTAAAATTGTGTTTGTGTATACTAGCAATAAGCTATCAGAAACTGAAAATTAAGCAACTTTTTTTTTTAACAATACCATTTAGAATAGTATAAAAAATGAAATTCTTTGGAATAAATTTGACAAAAGATATGCAAGAACTATATACCAAAAACTACTCAAAAAACACTTTTTTACAAAAAATTAAGCCAGGCACAGTGGCTCACACCTGTAATCCCAACACTGGGAGGCCGAGGCAGGTGGATCACTTGAGGCCAGGAGTTCGAGTTCGAGACCAGCCTGGGCAACATGGTGAAAACCCCATCTCTACCAAAAATACAAAAATTAGCCAGGTGTGATGGTGTATGCCTGTACTTCCAGCTACTTGGAAGGCTGAGGCATGAGGATCGCTTGAAACTGGGAGGCAGAAGTTGCAGTGAGCC